CTCTCAGACTTTCGGCGTCTCTCGGTCTCTCAGACTTTCGGTCTCTCGGTCTCTCGACTTTCGGTCTCTTCGCGGTCCTCTCAGACTTTCGGTCTCTCGTCTCTCAGACTTTCGGTTCTCTCGGGTCTCTCAGGACTTTCGGTTCTCTGCGGTCTTCATCAGGACTTTCGGTCTCTCGCGTCTCTCAAGACTTTCGGTCTCTCGGTCTCTCAGACTTTCGGTCTCTCGGTCTCTCGACTTTTTCGGTCTCTCGGTCTCTCAGACTTTCAGGTCTCTTCGGTCTCTCAGACTTTCGGTCTCTCGGTCCTCAGACTTTCCGGCTCTCGGTCTCTTCAGACTTTCGGTCTTCTCAGACTTTCGGATCTTCCTCGGTCTCTCAGACTTTCGGTCTCTCGGTCTCTCACGGACTTTCGTTCTCTCGGCGGCTCTCAGACTTTCGGTCTCTCGGTCTCTCAGACTTTCGGGTCTCTCGGTCTCTTTCAGACTTTCGGGTCTCTTTTCGGTCTCTCAGACTTCGGTCTTCGGTCTCTCGGTCTCTTCAAGACTTCGGTCCCTCGGTCTCTCGGTCATTTCGAGAATCATAAAAAAAAATGTTCAAATGCAGGCACAGGGGCAACAGTGCGTGAGAGGCAGGAGGAGTGGAGGGACGGAGGAGGTGGAGAGGAGGAGGGGAGGGTGAGGAAGAGGTGGAGGAGAGGAGGAGGAGGAGGAGGAGGAGGAGGAGGAGGAGGAGGAGGAGGAGGAGGTGGAGGAGGTGGGGAGTGGAGAGGTGGAGGAGGAGGAGAGGAGGAGGGAGGAGGAGGAGGAGGAGGAGGAGGAGGAGGAGGAGGAGGAGGAGGAGTGGAGGAGAGGAGAAGGCAGAATTCGAGAGAGAAGGAGAAGAGGTGGAGGAGGAGAGGAGAAGGAAGGAGGAGAAGGAGGAGGGAGAGAAGGGAGGAGCGGAGGAGGAGAAGGAGGAGGAGGAGAGAAGGAGTGAGAAGGAGGAGGAGGAGGAGGAGGAGAAGGAGGAGGAGGGAGGAGGAGAAGGAGGAGGAGAAGGGGAGGAGGAGGAGAAGGAGGAGGAGGAGGAGAAGTAGGAGAGGAGGAGAGGAGGAGGAGAAGGAGGAGGAGGAGAGAAGGAGGAGGAGGAGGAGGAGAAGGAGGAGGAAAGAAGGAGGGAGACGGAGAGAGAAGGAGGAGGAGGAGAAGGAGGAGAGAGAGAAGAGGAGGAGAAGGAGGAGGCAGGAGGAGAAGGAGGAGGAGGAGCGAGAAGGAGGAGGAGGAGGAGGAGGAGAAGGAGAGGAGAGGAAGTAAGGAGGAGTGAGAAGGAGGGGAGGAGGAGGAGAAGGAGAAGGAGGGAGGAGAGGAGGAGGAGGAGGAGAAAGGCAGGAGGAGGAGAAGGAGGAGGAGGAGGAGAAGAGAAGAAGGAGGAGGAGAAAGAGGAAGGAGGGAGGAGAAGAAGAAGAAGGAAGGAGGAGGAAGAAGAAGTAGGAGTGAGAAGAAGAAGAAGGAGGAGAGGAGAAGAAGAAGGAAGGCAGGAGAGAAGAAGAAGAAGGAGGAGGAGGAAGAAGAAGAAAGGAGGAGAAGAAGAAGAAAGAAGGAGGAGAAGAAGAAGAAGGAGGAGGGAGAAGAAGAGAAGGAGGAGAGAAGAAAGAAGAAGGAGGAGTGAGAAGAAGAAGAAGAGGAGGAGAAGAAGAAGAAGGAGGAGGAGAAGAAGAAGAAGAGGAGAAGAAAGAGGAGGGAGAAGAGGAAGGAGGAGAAGGAGAAGGAGAAGGAGAAGCGAGAAGGAGAAGGAGAAGGAGAGAGAAGAGAAGGAGAAGGAGAAGGAGAGGGAGAGGAGAAGGAGAAGGAGAAGGAGAGGAGAAGGGAAGGGAAGGAGAAAGAAGGAGAAGAGGAGAAGGAAGGAGAAGAAGAGGGAGAAGAAGAGAAGGATGAAGAGGAGGAGAAGGAAGAAGGAAAGGAGGACAAGGAGAGAAGGCGAGGAGGAGTAGAGGATGGAGAAGGAGGAGGAGTAGGGGGAGTAGTGAGGAGGAGTGGAGGAGGAGTAGGAGGAGGAGAAGAAGGAGGGAGGAGTAGGGGAGGAGAAAAAGAGGAGGAGTAGGTAGGAGGAGCGAGAAGAAGGTAGGGGAGTAGGACGAGGAAGTCAGCCGAGGAGGAGGAGGAGGAAGAGAGGAGGAGTAGGAGAGTAGGAGGAGGAGAGGAGTAGGAGAAGAGGAGAAGGAGGAGAAGGAGGAGAAGAATGAGAAGAAGAGCAAGAATGAGAAGGAAGAGAAGAATTGAGAAGGAGAGAAGACATGAGAAGGAAGAGAAGAATGAGAAGGAAGAGAAGAATGAAAGGAATGAGCAAGAATGAGAAGGAAGAGAGAATTGAGAAGGAAGAGAAAATGAGAAGTAAGGAGAGGAATGAGAAGGAAGAGAAGAATGAGAAGGAAGAGAAGAATGAGAAGGAAGAGAAGAATGAGAAGGAAGAGAAGAATGAGAAGGAAGAGAAGAATGAGAAGAAGGAAGAGAGAATGAAAGAAGGAAGAGAAGAATGAGAAGCAGTAACGAGAAGAATGAGAAGAAGAACGAGAAGAATGGAGGAAGAAGAGAGCAATGCAGAAAAGGAAGAGAAGAATTGAGAAGAAAGCGAAGAGAAGATGAAGAAGGAAAGAGAAAGATATGAGAAGAAGGAGAGAAGGGAGAGAAGGGAGGAGATGGAGAAGGCAAGAGAAGGCAGGAGAAGAAGGAGGAGAAGGAGAGAAGACATAGAAAGAAGAGAAAAGGAGAAGGAAGAGGAGAGAATGAAGAGAGAGGACAGGAGAAGGAAGCAGAAAAGAACGGAAGGGAGACAGAAGAGAGGAAGAGGAAGGAAGAGGAGAAGAAGAGAAAGAGTGAGAAGGAAGGAGGAGGAGGAGAGGAAAGAAGAGTAATACAGGTGGAAAGGTAAGGAGGGAAGGCGGGAGAAAGGACAGGATGGAAGATCGGGGAGGAGGAAAAGAAAGGAAGGAAGGGGAGGGAGGAGGAAAGGAAGAAAAGAGGGAAGAGCAAGGAAGGGGAGGTAGGGAAAAGGAGGGTGGGAAAAGGATGGATGGTAGGAAGGGAAAAGGATGGAGAGAAAAGGTCGGAAGGAAGGAAGAGGAAAGAAAGGGAGGGGTGAGGGAGAGAAAGAGAGAAGAGATGAAATGAGGAGAGAAAGGAGAAGGAAGGAGAGGGAAGGAGAGAGAAGAGAAAGAAAGAAAAAGAGAGAAGAAAGAGAGAAAGAGAAAGAAGAGAGAAAGAAAGAGAGAAAGAAAGAGAGAAAGAAAGAAGAAAGACGAAGAAAGAAGGAGAGAGAAGAAAGAGAGAAGAAGAGAGAAAAAGAAAGCAAGAAAAGAAAGAGAGAAAGAAAAGAGAGAAGAGAAAGAAAGAGGAGAGAAAGAGAAAGAGAAAAAGGAGAGAGAAGAAAGAAGAGAGAAAGAGAGGAGAGAAAGAAAGAGAGAAAGAGAGAGAGAAGAGAGAGAGAGAAGAGGAGAGAGAAGAGAGAAGAGAGAGAAAGAGAGAAAGAGAGAAAGAGAGAAAGAGAGAAGAGAGAAAGGAGAAGAGAGAAAAGAGAAAGAGGAGAAAGAGAGAAAGAGAAAAGAGAAAGAGAAAGAGAGAAAGAGAAAAGAGAAAGAGGAGGAGAGGGAAAAGAAAGCGAAGAGAAAGAGGAGGAGGAAAGAGAGAAGAGGAAAGAGAAAAAGAGGAAAGAAGACAGAGAGAAAGAGACGGGGGGGGGGGGGTTGCACTCAGCATGCCCTCAGCCCCGTGATGGATAAGCCACCGTGTAGTGCCCGGACGACCCTCGCCCTTTCCTCCTCATCTCCTTCACCTCCTCCTTTTCCACTTCTTCCTTTCCCTCCACCTTTCCACCCCCTTCCACCTTTTCCACCCCCTCCACCTCTTCCACCCCCCTCCACCTCTTCCACCCCCTCCGCCTCTTCCACCCCCTCGCCTCTTCCCCCCCTCCGCTCTTCTACCCCCCCCCCGCCTCTTCTACCCCCTCCCACCTCTTCTACCCCCTCCACCTCTTCTACCCCCTCCGCCTCTCCACCCCCCTCCACCTCTTCACCCCCTCCACCTCTTCCACCCCTCCACCTCTTCCACCCCCTCTTCCACCCCTCCACCCTCTTCCCACCCCCCTCCGCCTCTTCCACCCCCCTCCGCCTCTCCCCCCCCTCCGCCTCTTTCCACCCCCCTCCGCCTCTTCCACCCCCCTCTACCCTCTTCTACCCCCTCTACCTCTTCCAACCCCCTCCACCTCTTCCACCTCCCTCCACCTCTCCACCTCCCACCCCCTCCTCCCTTCCACCCCCCTCCTCCTCTTCCACCCCCTCCACCTCTTCCACCCCCCTCCCCCTCCTCCTCTTCCTCTTCCTCTTCCACCTCCCCCTCCCACTCCTCTTCCTCCTACCTCTCCTCCCTCCCCTCCCCCTCAACCCAACACCTACCACCCGTGTTTTCTCCTTTCGTCTTAATTGCCCAAATTTATCTTTTCTTTCCTTGTTCCCGGGTCATTTAGAGTGGGGAGAGAGAGAAGAGAAGGGGAGGGGAGGGGAGGGAGGGGGAGGGGGGGGAGGAGGGAGGGGAGGGGAGGGGAGGGGAGGGGAAGGGAAGGGAAGGGAAGGGAAGGGAAGGGGAGGGGAGGGGAGGGGAGGGAGGGGGGAGGGAAGGGAAGGGAAGGGAAGGGAAGGGAAGGGAAGGGAAGGGAAGGGGAAGGGAAGGGTAAGGGAGGAAGGGTAGGGAAGGGTAGGGAAGGGAAGGGGAGAGAAGGGAGGGGAGAGAAGGGGATGGAGGGAGAGAGGGGAGGGAGAGAGGGGAGAGAAGGGGAGGAGGGGAGAGAAGGGCGAAGGGGAGGGAGGGAGAAAGGGATGGGAGGGGAGAGAAGGGGATGGGGAGGGAAGAGGGGAAGGGGGGGAGGAAGGGAGGTGTAGACAAGGGGAGGGGAGAATGGGGAGGGGAGGGGAGGGAAGAAGGGAAAAGTAAGGGAGGATAAGAGGAAAGGAGGGGAAAAAGAGGGAGGGGAAGGAGAAGGATGGGCAGATAAGTGCAATGGAAGGGGGGGGGGGGGGGAAGGGGAGAGAGGTAAAATGGAGGGGGGGATGAAGATAAAATTTAAACCAAGGGAGCCCAAAACAATCATTTAGAATAAATCTAAAAAACGTAACTAACGCTCTTTAATATCCCATACTGGCCGAAGGCAAGTAATCAGAATAAAGAAAAATAATCCACAGAAATGCATAACAATATATTATAAAAATGATCATCATTGATATAAAACATCCACTATGATTGTAATCACACGAATAACTGACAGCAATACCTCGAATAATAAAATTGTTTCAGTATTACTGTAACCTTTCTTTCAACAGCATTAATAAAAAACAACAGCAATGACATCAAACCCATAATCATAAACAATACTAACGATGATGATCACGAAAATCATAACAACAATAACAATAACAAAGATGATAATGATGATGATGATGATGATGATGAACAACAACAATAATTGTAAGAACAACAACAACAATAATTGTAAGAACAACAACAATAATTGTAAGAACAACAACAACAACAACAACACTCACTCTCCCCCGGCTTGGCTTCCCACCCGAGCTTCTGTCCGATCTTCACGAAGAGCTTCCTGACGAAGGCGGCGAAGGACGGGTGGAAGTCCGTGTGCGAGATCAGCTGATTGAGCCTCGCCACGCAGTTGTGCACCGCCGACCACACCGTGTAGTCGGTCTCGTCCTCGAACGCCTTCAGGAGCTTCAGCACCTCCACCGTGTTCGTGTGGCCTGCTTGGACCTGGTGGGGAGAGAGAGGGGAGGGGGGGAGATTAATAAATGTATAAAGTTTAAGTAAAAACTTACCATATCCATCATGGGTGTATAAAACATACATATTTGAATATACATGTTCATATTAATCGATCGATGATGATGATGACGATGACGACGACGATAATGATAATAATAATAATAATGACGATGATGCTGATGACGATGACAAAAATAATGAGAATGCCGATGAGCGAATACGTAAATACTGCGAGGAGCCAACGTAAAGACCAGCAGTTATCCCACATGCACCGCCACCCACTGCACTACAAATTGCAAGAGAAAAAGACCTATTTGAGCTAACCCCCCCCCCTCCCCGTCCCCCCACCTTTTCCGTCTTTCTTGACTTTCAACGTTCCATTTCTATTTCTTTCATTCCCTCTTCTCCCTCCTCTTCTCTGGCCTTCTCTTTCTCCGCTGTTTATTGCGATTTTTTCTCTCTTGTTTTCTCTCTTTCCAGCTTTTAGTTATTTTTTCTCTCTTTCTCCTTCCGTTCTTTCCATCCTTCTCTTCCTCCTCTTTTTCTTTCACATTCTTCGTCCGTCTTTCCTTCTCCCTTCTCTGATTGCCTCTTTCTCCCTTATTCTCCGTAACCTTCTTCTTCTTTCTTTCGTCCTTCCCTCTTATCTTCCTTCTTTCACCCTTCCTTTCTTATCATTGCTGCTTTCTTCCTTCCCTCCTTCACCTTCCTTCTATGCTTCCCTCCTCCATCCTTCCCTCCTTTCATCCTTCCCTTTTAACTTTTCTTCCTTCACCCCTTCTTCTCTTATCCTTCGTTCTTTCATCCTTCCTTCTCCCTTACTCCTACTCCACTCCTTGCCTCCTTATGCTTTACGGCTTCCAATTATCATCTCATTTTCATTTATTCCTCGGCCATCGCTTATTCCTTCACTTGCTCATTTATCAATCCTCTTTATGCCCGGTATTTATCCACTTTATCACCATCTTGTTTACCCACTTTATCGCGGTCTATCTTTCGCCTTTCTTCGGTTGTCTGTTGTGTGGCTGAGAATGACGACAGCATATTAACATGTGATAAATGTGGGAGAGAGAGAGGGAATAAACAGATAAATGGGGGTCTGAATAAATAAATGAATAAATAAACGAGACACGTGAGAAACCCGATTTCTGTCTCTTTCCTTTGTCTCTTCACTTCTTTTTCTTCTCCCCTCCCTCACTTTTTCTTTTCCTCTCACCTTTCCTTCTCGTTAATTTCATTCAATCCCCTTACCCTCTCCCCTCCTCTTCATCTTCCCCTATCTCCTCCTTTCGCCTTCCCCTTCTCCATACCCTATCTTCCCCTTCTCCCCTACACTCCCCTTCCCCGTTCTCCCTATCCCCCCCTCACATTCATCATCCTCTCCCTCCCTTCTCTCCTCCTCTCCTCCCTTTCTCCCTCCCTCCCATCCCCTTCCCTCTCCCTTCCCATCCCCCTTCCTCTCTCCCTTACCTTCCCCTCCTCATCCCCTCCCCTCTCCCTTTCCCTACCATTCCCCTCCTCTCCTCTCTCCCCCTCCCCCATCCCCATCCCCATCCCCATCCCCTCCCTCTCCCTTTCTTCCATCCCCTCCCCTCCCCTCCCTTCCATCCATCCCTCCTCTCCCCAAACCCCTTCCCTCCCTTCTCTCCTACCTCCCCCCTCCCTCTTCCTCTCCCTCCCCTCCCCCATCCCTCCCCTTCCCTCCCCATTCCCCTTCTCTCCTCCCCTTTCTCTCACCTCCTGTCACAACGACTTACGGCGCCGCCCACCCACCGCCCATATCCCCGCCCCCTTGCCCTCATTGGCATTGCAATGAATATTTACGCCTTCATCAGAAAACCGGAGAGGGACGGGAAGGGAGATTAAGGAGAGGAGGAGGGGAGGAGGAGGGGAGGAGGAAGGAGGAGAAGGAGGAGGAAAGGAGGAGGAGGAGAGGAGGAGGAGGAGGAGAGGAGAGGAGGAGGGAGGAGGAGGAGGAGGAGGAGAGCAGAGAGGAGGAGGAGGAGGAGGGGAGGAGGAGGGAGAGGAGGTGGGAGGTGGGAGGAGGTAGGAGTGGAGGGAGGAGGAGGAGGTGGGAGGGAGGAGGAAGGGGGAGGGAGGGAGGAGGAGGAGGAGGAGGAGGAGGAGGAGGAGGAGGAGGAGAGGAGGAGGAGGAGGAGGAGGAAGAGGAGGAGGAGGGAGGAGGAGGAGGAGGAGGAGGAGAAGGGGAGGGAGGAGGAGGAGGAGGGAGGGAGGAGGAGGAGGAGGAGGGAGGAGGGAGGAGGCAGTGGAGGAGGGAGGAGGAGATGGGAGGGAGGAGGAGGAGAGTGGGAGAGGAGGAGGAGGGTGGGAGGGAGGGAGGAGGAGAAGAGGGAGGGAGGGAGGAGGAGAAGGTGGGAGGGAGGGAGGAGGAGAAGGTGGAGGAGGGAGGGAGGGAGGGAGGGAGGGAGGAGGAGGGAGAGAAAGGAGGAGGGAGGGAGGAGGAGATGAGAAGGGGAAGAATGGAGAAGAAGAGAAAGAGAAGGAGGAGGAGAAGAGAAGAAGAAGGCGAGGAAAGAAGAGGAAGGAGAAAGAGAAGTAGGGAGGAGAAAGAGGAGAAGGAAAACAGAACAAGGAGGAGAAGGTGACGACGAAGAGAAGAGTAGGAGTAAGAAAAAAAATGAGTTTTCGCCGTAACTGTACATACATGAGAAAATTTTGTTTGTTTGTTTTGGGCTTAATAAGGGGGGAGTAATCTACAGGTAAGTGGGTGGAGGTGGACAGGGAGACAGGGTGGAGGGAAGGAAGAAGGAGAAAGAGAAGGAAGTACTGAGGAAGAAAGGAAGAAGAGGAGATGGAGGAGGAGGTGAGGAGAAAGGATGAGATGGTGGAGGAGGAGGAGGAGGAGGAGAGGAGGAGGAGGAGGAGGAGGAGGAGGAGGAGTAGAAGGAGGAGGAGTAGGAGGAGGAGGAGGAGGAGGAGGAGGAGGGAGGAGAGGAGGAGGAGGAGGAGGAGGAGGAGAGGAGGGAGGAGGAGGAGGAGGGAGGAGGAGGAGGAGGAGTTGAAGGAGGAGTTGAAGGAGGAGGAGGGAGGAAGGAGGAAGGAGGAGTAAGGAGGAGGAGGAGGAGGAACAAAAACAAAAGGAAAAGAAACATGATGAAGAAAAGGAAAAGAAGAAAAACAACAAAGAAAACAAACAAGGAGAAAGCAAACGAAGAAAAACATTGATGACAAGAAGGGAGTAGGAAGGAAGTAGGAAGGAAGAAGTAGGAAGGAAGGAAGGAAGGAAGGAAGGAAGGAGCGAGGAAGGAGGGAGGGAAGGAGCGAGCAAGGGAGGAAGGAAGGGAGGAAGGGAGGGAGAGAGAGAGGGAGGGGAAGAGGGAAATAAGGAGCAGTGACCGCTGTAACACGGGGTTAACCACACAATTTTACACACTGCCGCCCATACGTCAGCTCTCCTTCCCTCCCCTGTGGGCGTGTCTGAAAAGGACAGCTGGAATGGGAGAGGAGGAGGGGGAGGAGAGGAAGGAGGGTAGGGGTGGGCGTGGGGATGGGGGAAGGTAGGGTGGGTAATGTAAAGTAAGATAACGTAAAGTAAGGCAAGGTAAGGTAAGGTAAGGCAAAGTAAGGTAAGGTAAGGCAAAGTAAGGTAAGGTAAGGCAAAGTAAGGTAAGGTAAGGCAAAAGTAAGGTAAGGTAAGGCAAAGTAAGGTAACATGGCAAAGTAAGGTAAGGTGAGGTAAGATATGATGAAGTAAGATATGGCAAAGTAAGGTAAGGTAAGGCAAAGTAAGGTAAGATATGACGAAGTAAGGTAAGATATGGCAAAGTAAGGTAAGATATGGCAAAGTAAGGTAAGGTAAGGCAAAGTAAGGTAAGGCAAGCAAGTAAGTAAGGTAAGGCAAGGCAAGGTAAGGTAAGGCAAAGTAAGTAAGGTAAGGCAAAGGTAAGGTAAAGCAAAATAAGGTAAGTAAGGCAAGTAAGGTAAGGTAAAGCAAAATAAGGTAAGGTAAGGCAAAGTAAGGTAAGGTAAGGCAAAGTAAGGTAAGGTAGGCAAAGTAAGGTAAGGTAAAGCAGGGGGAGGGGAGGGAGGGGAGGGGGAGGGGGAGGGGGAAGGGGAGAGGGAAGGGCAGGGAAAGAAGAAAAGAAGAAGAAAAAGAAGAAAAAGAAAAAAAAAAGAAAGAAAGGTAAGGTAAAGCAAAATAAGGTAAGGTAAGGCAAAGTAAGGTAAGGTAAAGCAAAATAAGGTTAAGGTAAGGTAAGGCAAAGTAAGGTAAGGTAAAGCAGGGGGAGGGGGAGGGGGAGGGGGAGGGGAGAGGGGGAGAGGGGGAGAGGGAAGGGCAGGAAAGAAGAAGAAAAGAAGAAAAAAGAAGAAAAGAAAAAGAAAAAAAAAGAGAAAAAAAAGAAAAGAAAAGAAAAGAAAAGAAAGAAAAAGAAAAAGGGAAAAGAAAGAAAAAAGAAAAGGGAAAAAGAAAGAAAAGAAAAGAAAAGAAAAGAAAAGAAAAGAAAAGAAAAGAAAAGAAAGAAAAGAAAAGAAAAGAAAAGAAAAGAAAAGAAAAGAAAAGAAAAGAAAAGGGAAAAGAAAAGAAAAGAAAAAGAAAAAGAAAAAAAGAAAAAGAAAAGAAAAGAAAAGAAAAGGGAAAAAGAAAGAAAAGAAAAGAAAAGAAAAGAAAAGAAAAAAAAGGAGAAAGGAAAGGGAAGAAAAAAGAAGAGAACAGAGAAATGAAAAAGGAATCAAAAGCTGAAATGGGTGTAAAGGTGGCAAAAACACAGGTGGGGCAGGTGATATAAAAACATACCAAAATGATAAAAATAAATAAATAAATAAAATAAAATAAACCAAAATACTATCAAATAAGATAAAGAAATAATAAAAACAGAAGTACAATATAAACTAAAATATACAGTGAAATGGGTGGGCATTACCAACAAGACACATATGGATGAGACACAAATAACAATACAACCGAGGAATCAACAGCAATAAAAATAATGATAATAAAAAAAAAAATGATTGAAGCAAAGAAATGACAATACCGTTACATACATACAAAAGAAACCTAACATTCACGCCCACACCCGACTGGCAGCAGACACTCATGTTTGGAGGTGTGAATGAATCCCCCAACATGGTACCATGGTGAAAGGCAGGTGAATGTCGGTATGGGTGTGGATATACATATTAATGTACAGCTACACAGAAAAACATTGTTGGAAAATCATGCTAAACATTCTGACACAAGCAACGATACTTTTAGTAATATAGTTGTTAATGCTACGGAACTGTTGGTATCCCTGATTTTTCAACTACTTTTAGATATGTGTGGCTCATCTGAATATTGCAAGGGATATTCCATCCCTTACAGGAATAAAATAATCATCTCACAATGAATCCATATGATTTCCAGAACGACTATTAGAGTCATGAATCAGAACTAGACACATTCGAAACCCAATATACCATCCATTCCATAACCCAAGGTTCTGTTTGTTATGAAGGTTTCGACACCCCTCCTTTCGATAGTTTTCATCGTAACACTAAATACTGATGTTCACTTTATGTAGACGCTGATACTGATGCATATAATTATGTTCATTATGATGGTGATGGTGATGGTGATGAAAATGGTGATGGTGATGAAGATGAAGATGGAGATAATGGTTATATTAATGCTCACATTGTGATTACCAACTAAAGACCATCCGGGATGTACTTACCATGGAGAAGAGGTCGTCCAATACTCCTAACCGGTCAAGAGGCGGCAAACACTTGGACTTCATGGCAGGCATCAGCAAGTCAAGCATGTCGGGAGGATACTGCGTCCTGTTGTGTAAAGAGAAAATTTGAAAATCAACATCCACAAAATCTGAACATTAGCATTCAAAAAATAAATGTTAAAAACAAACACACAGCTAATAATGCACTCTGTTTATTTGCATAAATATAATTCAGTCCACTCCCTTACTCATAAGTCAATCAACCTGAAACAGCATCCAACCATCAGTCATTCCACTTAGCCTTTTACTCACTAACCCAAATTTACTATTCCATCCATTCCTCTACAGCACAAAAGCAAAGACCATGAATCCAATCATTCTTCAGTGAACAGCTTTACTACAAGCACACAGCATTTCAGCACATTCACTAATCAACAGCAGAAAACCAAACGCGTGTGATTTCCTCACCTGTAATATCCTACAGTGCCAGGGTTGAGTTTCACCCATGTATCAGCAGAGATGCCCTCAAGAACTACTTGCGTTGATTTGCAATCTAGGAGGACCTCCTTGACTGTTTCAGAGGGCTTCTTTTCAGTTGAAATACTGATTGGCACCATCCACTGACTGCTGTCCCCTATGAAACAAAAAGGAAAAAGTTAAAAGTCATACTAATCCACTGTATTCTTTAAAAAAAATAATGAATTTCCACTGAAACCTTCTATAATACAATTTTACCCTATTGGAATTAAGTACAAGCAGTGCCCCCTGTTACTTCTATTCACAGATATACAGATATCCAGATATACAGATAAACAGCTTCACAGCACCTCATCTCCAAGAAATCACCTACTAAGACTATTGAATCTCATATTTACTCTATTCCTTAAATTTTGATGGAAGACCGTCACTTTCTATTACTAACTTTGTTATAAACATTAGTCACTATACCATTATCAACAATAATAATAGTAATGAAAAATGACATTTCTTTCCAGAAATTCAAGGAATAGGGTGAAGTCTAGTAGATAGGCCTTGATACTTACTCCTTGGTGACTAAGTGCTTCTGGAAACCTTATGTGCAAACAAAATCAAGGAAACAAAATCGCAGTGAACAGGGGATGTATACATGTACTCTCAGCACTATCAACAAGCTAACAAATATCAACATAATTTAGGAAACCCTGTACATCCAATCCATTAGTCAACTTACAAAATCAATGTTCCATTACCCCAGAGCTCTACCAGCCTAAATTGACTTTGGAACTAGATGCAAATCAGGGCTATCATTCTTGTGGCCAGGTATAGGCATACTATCAGCAAACCTAAGTGAGCTAGACCTAAAGCATTCTTTAGACAGATCCTGCTGCATTTTCACAAGAAATGAGGATCTAAATTCTATGATCCTCTTGGAAATTTGTCATGCATTATTGTGCAGGTATATCACTAAAAATCATATTGTAGATTGCCTAGATAACGAAACCTAAATAGTGTAGCTGTGATTTAACCAAAAAGGGAATCAGAGCAAGTAAGAAAAATGAATGGTAAAGCACGTACGGCCGGTTTGTTAAAATTGTGCGAGGCCCGACCCAAAGAATATTTGTATACTTGACATGCAAAAATAAAGAAATAAATGCATATTTATCAGTCTAGACATGCATATCAACCGGGCAAATAGATAGATAAAGGTATATCTATCAGATGTATAGACAGATATGCATTAATTTCCGTGTATATGCATGTCTGTATTTACGAACATTCATTGGGTCGAGCCTCACACAATTTAACAAACCGGCCGATAGTATGGACATGGACATATGTAAGAAAAAGATAGAGATCTGCATGAAAGGGAGGCGAGGATAAGAGAGAGAAGGTAGATAGATGGAGTAAAACACTTGAAAGAAAAGAATCTGACCAGATGTTTCTGAATAAAGAGATGTGATTAAATGTCTTAAAATATGCCGACCCCACGTAAAAGTAGGAAAAAGTCAATGACAAAGAACTGTAAGAGGCTAGGCAGCTGGAGGTGGTTCAGGAACAAGACCTGAGCCTGAGCAGTGGAACTTTTTTGTTCTTTACACCCTAATACAAAACTTCCGCAACCACTCACCTGTGGAACCATCAGCCAGGAATCTCTGTTGGGTTAGTGTCAGCACCTTGTTGTCTCCGTCCTGATGCGAGGTCACAGAGATCATGGGGAAACCAGTCTGTTTGGTCCATGAGCTCATCACTTCACCCACAGGCTTGTTTGAGGCTTCCTTGAGAGCTGCCCATAAGTCTTCAGTGTAAGTGTTGTTGTACTGGTGTCGTGTCAGGTACTTGTTCATTCCCGCGCGGAAATCCTGAATATTGAAAGTGTTTCAGATACTTACTTTGGGGTCTTTCTGACATATGCAGCATTGTATAATCTTCATCTTCTGGTTTCTGTTTCTACATATGATTAAAAAGTATGTTCATCCAGAAGCTTGAAGTGTGTTTGGCTGGTTGAATGTTATTATCACTGAAAATTCTTGCAGGATAAATATACCCAATGCTATTTAAGAAGAAAGCAAGGCTTGCTTAAATAATACTTAGGAGATATGATTACATTCTTCAAAACACTTTCCCAAAGGGCAGATACTGTCTCCTCTTTAAATGAACTTTTGTGTATAGTGTTTTATTTCCGTCATTACCTCTGCTTTTTCACTCAATGCCCTTACCTTGTCCCCTAGATAGCAGTGCAACATGCGAATCACAGATGCCCCTTTGGAGTAGGAAATATCATCGAAGATTTCATCAACCTCTGAAGGATGGCCCACAGGCACTTCAATTGGGTGCGAGTTCTTGAGGCAGTCTAGTTCCAAGGCTCGGATGTAAGTGTTGGTGACAAACTGTGTCCAGATATCATACTCTGGAAACAGATGGTCGACACACAGGAACTCAACAAAAGTGGCATAGCCTTCATTCAGCCAAAGGTGAGTCCACCATTCCTAGAAAAGAGAAGTATTCATTAGATAAGAAAAGTAAAAGTAAATCAAGTAAACAAAAACAATACCTCTTACCTATATAAGCCCAAAACAAAAACAACATTGAAAATTCCTCTTCAAGGTAAAGCAACAATACCACATCTTTCATATCTTAAACCAGTAAATAACCCAAGTTCTCACCATAGTGACAAGGTTACCGAACCACTGATGAGCAAGCTCGTGGCCCACAACAAGAGCGATCCACTGTCGCTGACTAGCACTTGTGTTATCTGGATCCACCAACAAGCACGTTTCACGGTAAGTTACTAGCCCCCAGTTTTCCATGGCACCTGAAAACAGAAAGACACAAGCATAAAAGTTCCAAACTGAGGTGGAATTGTTTCTTATAAAACACAATGCCTAGGGAATAAACAGAATTATACAGCATGTAAAAAAAGAAAGAAAGAAAGAAAAGTCATCAAGATGTCTTCATTTGGCTCTAAACTTACCTACAGAGAAGTCAGCAATAGCAATGAGATCCATTTTGGGCAATGGATAGGCAATGTTGAAATAGTCCTTGTAGTATGGCAAAACCTTTGTCGCAACCTCGAGGGCAAATTTCCCTTGTTCCTTCTTGCCAACGGGAGTATATACTCGTACCTATCAAGAGGAATGAACCGTTATCATAACAGTACAAAATGTTTTATGATTAAAAATAATTGAAAGCAAAATTACATTCTAATCTTCTGAAAAATATAAACTATTTCCAAAATCTAAAAACTACTGTATAATCCAGAACAATTTATCACCAAAGTATGTCTAAAAAGTCAAAAGTTCTTATTAATCGTACAGATACCACAATTTAGCTTTTATCCATCGAACACAATCAATAAAGCAGTATCTACTTCCAGAAATACATACAGATCAACAAGTTTCTATCCTTCTTCCTAGTATGACTCCAAAAACTGATATATTAACTCCCTTTTTCACGTCTTCTTCACACTTACTTTTATCCCATCAGTAGAGGTGTCCTCCACGAAGTCATACTCTCCAACCACAACAGCAACCAGGTATGTTGACATGAGAGGAGACGTGGCAAATTTCACGACTTGCAAATTAGTATCAGACTCGTGCTGCTCTCTTGAGATCTCAGGCTGGACGTGAGAAGATACATATTTTCATTTTGTAAGGAATAATTTCTGTAATACTATGTTTTATATACTAAGAATGCCTATACATACCATAAATAAAATGATTTGCAAGAGTATTTTTATGCAACAAATACTCAATATACATTTACAAGAAACAAAATCTAATATGAAAAAGAATTTCTTACAATCTTTCAGTCAAAATGCATATAGTATCAGAGCTAACAAAATCTATTAAAATATTTCATAGCACTCTAAGCATCTACTGAAGCTGCCTATCTAAACAAAAGTTGCTTAGTATCATCAAGAATACAGATGCACAGCCTTCCTACAATTTCCCAAATCAAACCTGCATTGACATAGTTTATGGAATGTGCTGCAAATACACCCACCCAAAAAATTATTTCATATCTATGCATAACATTCTATGAAATAATTATAAACAACTTTAGCCAGACCTCAGCAAACATTTAGCTTTCAAACCAAAACCAAAACATTTACTGAAAAATTACAATAAACAAAACATCTATCAAGAGCTTGAAATTTAAGTATTTACTGCAATAAAAAAAAAAACAGTAATACCTAAATTCAAACACTACCTATATATTTAAAAAAAAAAATCTACCATAGGCAGTAAAATGGCCATCAAATCATTCCTGAAAAATAAAAATCATCTCACCTATAAACAAACAACCTAAGTGAACAGAATTTGGCAAGGTTTCAAAAACCAAACTCAAGCCAGCATACCATGTTAGAGAGAGGCACTCTGTCGCTTGGCACGACTAGCGTAATGTCAAAGGTAGCTTTCAACGCAGGCTCATCCCAGCATGGAAAGCAGCGCCGTGCATCTGTGGCCTCAAACTGAGTGACGGCTGAGTACCTTTCCTCGCCATTCACCCTGTGTGCACATGAGAGGAACTCAGTCTGCCCTTGAGGTGAACTTAAATTATCAAAAACAAGGTCAAACTTAAAATAAAAGCAAAAGGATTATTACTTCTGCAAAACAAGATAAAAAAAGAAATTTAAAGTAAAAGTGATATCCACTCAAAATATTTTAAAAATCAATAACTAATGAACAAAGAAAATATAAGGGAAAAACTCATCAGCAGGTAAGTTCCACTCACTTCACAGTACCTCGTCAACAGGCTAAAACATCTTGTAAATTTGTAAGCAAAACAATGAGGTTTTAAGAATTTCCAAAAAACTGGTATCTCGTGTCTTCCAAAAGACAAGCAACGACTCAGTCACTTGAAAGCCTATATCTACAAGTTCTCTTTGCAATTTTCAAGCTTCAGAAACATGTCAGCAAAAAAAAAAAAAAACCTTTCAATTTGTTCTCCCAGTTTCATTTTTTAACAAACGGAAACTCTTAATACATCAGCAAAATATATTCTCTCTCTACTGTGAGATCAAACATATAACCTATGGCATGAAGACCTGAGTGGAACCTACCTACCATGTTGTTCAGGGCCACACAATACGAGGGAACAACCAGCGTGACAGTAAATTTGGCTTTGAGGGCAGGCTCGTCCCAGCAGGGGAAGCAACGGCGAGCACATGTGGCACAGAGCTGGCTCACGGCCATATATCTCTCTTCACCTGTGGCTCTGTTGGTCCCCAAGAACACCAAGCTTAGGATTCCCATTGCTTCATAGGGTTATGGTACAGGGCTCAATATACTGGAATTCTGAGTCTTCAAAATAATTTTTTGTTTGTTTTTTCTTTCTTCTCTTTTTCTCAGCATCATGAAAGCTGAATTCTAATTCATTTTCTTAACATACTCCCTGGACATCAGTGAAATCAAGAGGAACACCCACTTTGGTGTTTCATACTTAATGCTTCCTTGGAATTATTTGGACTTATTTTTTTCTTTGTCTATACAATTACATTCAAAATAAGGAAATGCTTTACTGGAAATATTTGGTCATAGATCTTTTCATGTAAAATTATATTCAAACAATGAAAGCTACAATATCTAATATTATTACAAATAATGTAAAACACATGTTAATTTATCAACTTGATCATAATTGGACAGTGCCATAACTGGATATCTATACTGAAACCAAAAGAAAATTAACAGCAGGATATATGTAATGCTAATGTGAAAGCCACAATAAGTATTGCAACAAGTGCACCAGCCTTTTCCTGTGTCTCTAGCTGTTACTTATCTTAAGTCTGCCCACATAAGCAATAATGAAAGGTGCAGATATAGAACTACAGCTTACAGAAAGAAATCTCGTATCTAAACTTAGATTTTAAGGCACTTGTGACAAGCGTTTCAATTTCTGTCCTTTACTCATTCCATATGTCAGAGGGATATTGCATGCTGGTTAAAAATACCTCTTAAAGTAAACAAAATGAAACAAAAGAATGTATGTTCTATTATATCTTAATTTAGAAATAAATCATTTGCAAGAGGAATTCACTTGTAGTAAATAGTAACAAACACACTTGACCCATTGAATCCACGTGATGTGACCATCATGTCATAAAAAAACTTGGCTGAGGGGTAGGTGATGGTAATATACCATCTTGGAAATTTTAGAGAGGACAAGGGTGATGGAAATGTGTCATGAAAAATTTGGCTGGGAACTCTTGGATGAAAATTTGACTCAATGGGCATTTGGAAAGGGACCCACATTATTTACACTGGTATAGGACGGTGAAATGCAACATCCGAAAGCTATGTCAGTAAGTGCCAGCTCCAGAGAGGACACTGTTTCCATTCTCAGGATACTGCTTCTGCCCACTATGACAGGCCGTACAGGGTGCTTTACAGAAAAAATTTACAAAAAAAAAAATAATAATAATAAACCAATGTTACTTATTTCTATTGTCATTACATAGCCTTATAGAATACCTAGAGGAATGATATGGAATCTGTGCAAGGAAAACAGTCAATTACCATTTGATACAGCACATCAAATGACAAATATAGACCTTGGAAAATGGGGAGAAAAAAATGAGCAGAAAAAGAGAGAGCAACATTGCAAAAGGGAGGCAAGAAGACTTAATAAAGTACATGAGTGTTTGTACAGGTCAGGCCTACAAACGTTACACAAGGGAGTCACCACTCAAGAAAGCCTGATGCCCAATTTTTGGTCCAGGTGTGGGCCATAAAGCACCCAGATTCAAAGGGTTAATCTTTACAAAATAGAAATTTAGAGTTTCAAAAAAGAAAGGATTACATTCTGTATATCATATCAATTTAAACTACTGATCACCTTTATCCAACTTCTGTCAAGCTTCAATTTTACGCACAAAAAAGCAAAAATTAATTAATGGCATGAAGTGCTAATAAATGGGGTACAGGGGGACTTGCCCCCCTGTTTAGAGAATAAATAGAAGGTAGGAAAGGTTAGGTTGGGTGTTTGGGTTTGCATGATATTCTGGTTTTGGGTGCATCACTCTTGGTAACAATTACTTTTACTTTTACTCTTACTCTTTCTGCTCCTGCTCCTCCTTGACTTGAGATATGTGAAAGATATAACTGGCAATACAAATAAAAAAGAATCCAGTGTTTATAATAGAAAATGTTTCTGTACTGCAACAGGCCTCTTATAAATTTGCCTGTGATGCAGTAATCTCACTCAGTATTAATTATATTTTGATGATAATGCTTTCTATTTATTTACATACTTCTCTCCTTTTATCATTATGCCCACCAGGTTGTCTCTGTATGAGACAACCCTCAGTGGAGGGGGCTTGTGGGTTGATCTATCATATGATAAAGAGCAAGAGTAGGAGCAGAAGGAACAGGAGTAAAAGTATCACCATATACTTCATCAAGCAGAAAGAAAACACTTGTACAGGAAGGACTGAACATGATTAAATTCATACATACATAAAATCATGCACAGAACTAGTCAAAACCTTTTCACCTGATATATCTATAAGAATAAAATGCCCATAACATTCGTTGTAATAAAAAAAAAATCATAAAATGCTCACATCACTAATATACCCAGAAAAAATTAATGTATCATTGTATCAATATGTCAATCTTATAAATAAACAATGCTGTCAACAAAAGATTGGCTATTAGCCTTTTCAATCAACTATTCAATTTGAAATAAACTAAATGCTGATTTAGATTCTTATTGCAATCAACCAGTACAAAATTAAATCTGAGAAATACACAGATCTAAAAAAAAAAATCATATATATATATATATATATATATATATATATATATATATATATATATATATATATATATATATATATATATATATATATATATATATAAAATCCTGCAGGAAAAAATGGTAAAAACATGAGTGAGAATGAAGAATTCCACTCTTCAAGTTGTACTTTCAGTAAATTGGTATGTTTTTGATTCCTCTTTAATTACCTCTACATCAACAATAACAAAACAAAAATGTTATAAAGCAATCATAAAAAAATCACACTCACGATGTGTATTTGCTGCGGTAGAGGCCCTTCATCTTGTCGTTCAGCTCCCCGTTGAAGGCCATGCTGAGCTTAGCCTTCCCAATGGGCAGGGCCTTATCAAAGGTGAGTGTGACCATCTCGTTGGGAGTCGAGATCTCGGTCGAGGCTGGGAGCACCTTCTCCCCACTGGCCAGGGTGACTTTGATATCTCTGAGAGTCAAGTCCAGTGAGTTGAGCTTGATCTGTTTGGTGGCTTCTTTGACCTGAAATAATATTTGTTGTGTTATATAAAATGCTCATCTTAAAAAAAATCCAAATATACACCCTGAATATTCGGTATAAGCAATGTATAACTTACATACTCTTTATCTGAAATACTAGTTAGAAAATCTGCAATCAACTTTTATATTACTTCAATTCTATAGAGTTGGATAGAAATGTATTACCTCAATGTCAACATCTTCAGAACCAGTAAAAACACATTTGACAAGATTGGGCTGGAGCGTGACGGCATAGTGCAGTGGCTTCACATTGCCCGGAAGGCGCTCAAACGGCTTAGGTTCAGGCATCTTAGAAAAAATTCTGAAATATAAAATTAAATTAAAAGACAATGCACCACATTACTCATTGTACTCCCCATACATTAAATATAAATTTTCATAATTCAAATAACAATGTGAACTTATGATTTGGACCACACTCTCTTATCCATTATCTATACACTCTCAATATCATGCTTCCCTAAAACCTACCAATAAAAGAAAGAAAAGCTTAAGAAAAATCTAAGTGCAGACATATACATATCTATCAAACACTTGAAAACATAATTCTACATATGGATAGTACATGGCAGATTTTTGCTTATAAAGAAATTTCCATGTTATTCTCTAAACACTTATATATGGATAGCTGTTTAGAAGACAGTAGCTTAAAAATGGAACAGTGTTCTTCTAATTATGACAACAGTGTCCTATCTATACTCACTGAAAACTTGCAATAATCTGGAGATTAATACATAGTGGCACAGTGTCAAGCAACTACCACAGCCTCCATACTTTACTCCCGAGTGGAGGCCATAAACACTCCACTACATAGTGCATATTTGCAAAATAAATGCCACATGAGCACTGAACTAGCTGTTAAAAATGGTAAACAAAGACTAAAATTGTGAAAGGTTTCAAAAACACGGTTAATTCTTTACTTATTTCTTATGCCAACAACTGCAACATTGAGTCCTCTCCCAGAATATTATCTCCACTTTGCCTTGGTTTGGTGCATCCATAGAGTAAAGATTAACCAAAACAAGTGTGAATAAGACTTGAAACAAAAGTGTTAATGTCCCATGTACGGAAAAAGGCATCAGTAATGGTTGTATATTGACTGTTGCCAGTGTACTGTGGCTGATGTATTGATGTATTACATACAGTTACCTCACATCACCTCAATTATCTGTTTTACAATAATACAGATGAGACACTAGCTTAGCATTAACAACTTCAATGAAAAGATTACTTTCAACATATAGAAGTTATGGTCTTCAAGAACAAACAATGGCAATGACACTGGTTTCTACTGACAGGGAGGGAATAAACTGAAGCAAGGGAATCACACACTAAATGTAAACAAAAATAAAAACAGAAAATCACACTGATAAAGACATGTGAAATTTAAATTCTTTATAGATAGTTAATAACAAAATTTCATTTAAGGTGGTAATTAGAGTGGTATGGCATTAAGCGATGATCCCTCGTCTTCACATTTTCAACACTTCATCAAAGGCAAGTAAATTTCCTCCACTTATACTCTACAGAGCCACATAATTTATAACTTTTCACAATAGCTTCACATAACAAATCCAAACATGAATGCATTAAAAGTACCAGGGAAACTGCGGGGTAAACTATTAATAATATACACAGAATCAATCATTATATTGTCTAATGCTGGGGACTGAGCCCCCTATACTACCCCATGAAGGGGTTGCTGCCCCCAACCCCCACCCAAGAAAACTCAGCATTAGGCACTCCCACGTCAGTCTATGCTTCATCCTACCATGAATAATTCCACTGCAGGTTTTGGAGGGCAGTAGCCACCCCAGACTGTAGAATTTATCAGCACAGGAAAAATTATTTGGTCGAATTCTGTCCATGCAAATGTGGTTCTCTGGTAACTTTCCGTGCACGCTTAGTTCTTTTTTTAACCCCTAGCTGACGGGTGGCATGTACGTACATGCCATGGATGTTGCAGACCGAAAGACGGATGGCATCGTGTCATGCCCATTCCCGCGCCACTGGCTTGTCGGACGGAGTCTGTTTTTCTCCGATAGTAGCGGCTTCATTTATATGGTAAAGATTTTAGGCAATGGCACCTATAATGAAGGTAAACCTTCAAAATTTTAATATTTCTATAAATTATAGCAAAATAAAAGCTTTTAGGAGCTAAATGTCACTCACATACTACCGATCGAGCTGGTCGCAAACAGGGGGAACTGCCGATGCGCACCAACAACCCCGTCCATACATCCACTTGCCAAACATTTTTACCCCTCGGCATTGGCTTAAATCATCTTCCGCGCATAAAATTCTTTTGACCTTTCTGCGCACTTGTTCTATCATCCGTCCACAGATCTGTCTGCAGATCTGTCCGCACAACTATAGACAAAATGATATATTCAGCGCATAAAAAAATGTAATATTCGCTGCGCAAGAAAAATACTTTGCAGTCTGGCAAAAATTATTTGGTTAAATTCTGTCCACGCGAATACAGTTCTCAGGTAACTTTCTGCACATGCTTACTACTTTTTAGAACCATCTTCCGCACATAAAATTCTTTTGACCTTTCTACGCACTTGTCTCATCATACATCCGTGAAAATTTAGACAAAATGATGTTTTCCACACATGAAAAAATGTAACATTCCCCGCGCAAGAAAAATACCCTAGTCTGGCAGTCTGGTAGCCTCCCAGGAGGGAGGTCATGGGGGGTACAGCCCCCTGTGTTAGATAATACAGAGAATGACAATTTCCCTGCTACCCCTGCTATCGAGCCAATATTGTCACTAGTGGTGGGAGGTTTCGTGGTAAAATTTAGATATAATTGGATAGTAGAGAGAAAGGAATCCATAGATACTAAAATCATTACAATCAATTCAGCGGAGCTTTTATGAAAAATTACCTCATTCACCATCATTACTACTGTTGGTTCCGATGGACTAAAATAACTATGACCCATCTGAATAGTATATGTCAAAACCAATCCATCAATAGTATATTTGATAGTATCAACAATGCAAAGCATTTCGAAAAAACAATTCAATTCTCGAATAAATAACACCGAGACGAATGAGAGACAATGACAGTTACACTTCTAATTTTGACAAGTCACGATCAGAAATTTAAACTTGACATATACAAGAATAAAATCTAACAAAAACCATAACCTAATGACCAAAAGAGAGTGAAAAGACAACAAATGAAAAAAAATAACTTCATAAAACAAATTATCGTATATTGCACCTCACTGTCACTCAACAAACCGAGTTGGTGGAAAATGCAACATATCAACGATCTTCAAATTTCTCCCTAAAACTCAACATCACCCGTAAATAAACATCACCCACGTGTTAACTAGACTTTCCTCTCTTACGAGCACTAATTCACTGCCACTGTAACAGTCACGTCCTTTCATAAACTTACAAATAATGCAAGAACAGCTGGACCGGCAAACTTTATAGTAACAGGAGCAGAAGAAGCCGTTCCCGGAACCTCAATATTTATATCGTTAAATGGAGAGCTCGCCCAATCAGAATTAAGCAAATTTTTAAAGAGGTGTTCTGATTGGTCGAGCGTACTCACTCAAAAGTCATCGCTGAATGGTAGAAAACGGCGTTGCTTGGTGAAGATCGGGAAGCGCAAATTCTGTTGAAGGCGGAAATTCATTAACATTCTTGCCTTTTTGGATTTGCTTGATCATTGGCTTTTCCTGTTGCTATGTGACGTGAGAGAGAGAGAGAGAGAGAGAGAGAGAGAGAGAGAGAGAGAGAGAGAGAGAGAGAGAGAGAGAGAGAGAGAGAGAGAGAGAGAGAGAGAGAGAGAGAGAGAGAGAGAGAGAGAGAGAGAGAGAGAGAGAGAGAGAGAGAGAGAGAGAGAGAGAGAGAGAGAGAGAGAGAGAGAGAGAGAGAGAGAGGGGGGGGGAGAGCGAGAGACAGAGACATAAACAGAGAGAGAGACTGATAAACATACAAATAGACAGACTGCCCAATAAAACAATCATGCAAACAAACAGACAAAGAGAAGAGTGGAAGAGAGAGAAAAAAAGAGAGGCATAGATAAAGACAGACAAAAAAACGCACAAACACAGTGAGAAGGCGTCAATGAATTAATTCCTTTTAGAATTATATAGTACTAGCTGTCGTAATAATTGCAATGAATACATCACTGCATCATTCCTACTGCCATCATTACCACCATGGGATTATCATTATTATTTTCATTATTATTATCACCACCATAACTATCATTGTTACAGTTGATGTATCCATCGCATTATTTTGTTTTTCTTACTGTGATTATAATGATAATGATAATTGAGGAAACAAAGGTTATCATTATCATTATTATCATTATCATCATAATTATAGTCATTAGCATCATTATTGTTACCATTATCATTACGATCATTATCAGAAATATCGTATTAATAACAATAATAATGATAATGGTAGTGGTAATAAAATCAAGAACAATAATTGCAATGATAATGATAATAATAATAATAATAATAATAATAATAATAATAATAATAATAATAATAATAATAATAATAATAATAATATAATAATAATAATAATAATAATAATAATATAATATAATATATAATAATATAATAATAAATAGCAATAAGAATAACAACAACAACAATGAAAAACAATAATAATACTGATAATACTAGTAATAATAATAATGATAATGATAATAATAAAAATAATCATAATAATAATAATGAAAGTAATAACATTATATTTCTTTGTATTATTATTATTATCATTATTACTGTTATTACTGTTGTTGCAATTATCATTATTATTATTATTATTTTCATCATCATTATCATTATTATTTATATTATTATCACTACTATCCATAATGTTAATGGTTATCATTATTACTATTAACATTATCATTTTCATCATCATTATCATTACCACTATCATCATTACCATTATTATCAATATCGTTATTGCTATAATAATAATGATGATAATAATCATTATTGTCATTATTGTTATCATTATTTTCATTATAATTCCTGTATTTTCATAGTCATAGTGATACCAATGGCAATAATAACAATAGTAATCGTAACGATGATAATAATGATAACAATAGTATGAGCAAGAATGATAATGAAATAACAACAACAATAATAATAATAACAATAAAAATTATGGTATGATAATGATGAAAATAATAATAATGATAATAATAACATCAATGGTAATAATAATAATGATAATTATGACAATAATAATAACGGTAACAATAATATTATTGATAATGATAATGATAATAACGATAGTATTAATAACGATGATGATAATGATAATAATAATAATGATGATAATAATGATGATAAAAACAATAATAATTAAAGAGGGATAGACAAAAGAAGGACAAACAAGGGAAAAAATGAAAGAATGTAAGAGTGGATAAAGAAAGGAAGAAAAAACTTTGATCATAAGAAAATGGTGAAGCAAAGGCAGCAAGTAAAATGAGTTTAAGAATGAACAAAAAGACAACGACAAAAACAAGAAGAAGGAGGGTAGCACTAAAGCAGAGAGCAAGAGTGGCTGAAAATATAATAAAAATGATCATTGAAATAATAATGATAATAATAGTATCTGTAAAACGGAGTCGTATTTTCCCTTAATGTTTAATGCAACCGATATCCTGATATTGAAAAGCCAAGAATATGTATGAATGAGAATTAATATCTTCACAGTACAAGAGATGTATTTGAACTGTTTTGATTATATCTTCGTCAGGAATTCATGAATATCTTCACAATACAGATGTATTTGATCGGTTTCGTACATTCGTCAGAAATACATGTATCTCTGACGAAGATACATTCGAAACCGGTTAAATGCATCTCTTGTATTGTGAAGATATTCGTGAATTTCTGACGAAGATATATTCGAAACCGGTTAAATATATCTCTTGTATTATGAAGATATTCATTCTCATTCACACCCTTTTCTATATTTGTCAACATGAATATGGTTCAACTAACAACCCTCTAAAGCAGGGTTTTCAAACTAATTTACCCTTAGTATACAGTATACGATCCAGCTAATCATGGATAAATAAAAAAAACACATTTTATTAAAGCAGTATGATGATGATAATAATAATGAAAAAATGTGTGTGTAAGGGATGATTTTAATAGACGAAGGACTAGCTTGATTAATTATGTAAAACGCCCGACTGTAACACTGAAATAGCAAATGTACCGCGGGCCACACATAGGATTCTGGCGGGCCGCATGTCGCATATTTGACACCTCTGCTTTAAACTGCTCTAGAATTACCAGGTGTCACTGTCAACAACCCGTAAAGTGTTGAAAAAAACAGAGCAAACCATAATACCACAAACGCAAGAGAACCACAACATTAATACCGTTTATGATAATATTTACAATCTCGGGTGTAAAACCTCAAGGACAAGAGGAATCAACATTAGAGAGAAATTATCGTCATTTCGCACAAGAGACTGGCCATTACGTCATCTGGTGAAATAGCGAGAATAATATCTAAAACAACGTCTCAAAAGAAGTTTATCGAGAAGGGAACGGATGAACCAATAATGGCAGAAAGCAAAAAGTAGGAGACAGAAGGCCAGAACCAAACGCAGACAAGAAACAATCATTCCCCTCATAGGCCTATCTCGGGTCAGCTTCTCATACCTTGCTTATCCATATATTTATGCTTGTTTTTTAGTCGATTTAGTAACCCCTGGAAGTTTAAAATAATAGTAAAATAAATGAAGGACCAACCTCAAAATTAAATCCTAAAACTATCATATTTTGAAAATATGACCTCGTGGATGAGATAGACAAGATATTGCTATTTTTGAAGTGTCATAATTAGTTTTCCCATTTTTTTTCTTTATGATTATAAAGAAAAAGGGTTTCCTGACTTCAAACACTAAACGTTATCTTTTGCGCCTGTCCAATACACTTCCCATTCTTTTCAGTCTTCAAATCAAAGTTATGCAGCATAGTGGTACTAAAATATGGATTATTACGCTAATATGAACAATTATGAACTAATGTTTGCTAGCTAAAATTGAACAAACAGCTATCTGAGTGTACATTCATTTATTACAATTTCAGTCAGGTGCCGTATCAGTTAACACTTTCTTGTGCCTGAATTTCGAAGCAGTATCAGAAGCAGTTTTCACAGATGGTTCACTACAGTGGTTCTTATTGTTTAATAATTAATCTCTACTTATCTATTATTATTATTTTTTTTTTTTT